TTGCCAATTCTGCAGGTTTATTGATGTCCTTCTGTAGTTTGTTGCAGTAATAACTATTCCTCTAATCCCCAATCATCAACATGTTTAGAAAGTGTGCTTTGCATTCCGTATTCTGAATCATTGATGTTAACAATGATAACAGTGTTTTCAGTGACAATCCTTGTAGATCAGCATCTCCCACCTTTTGACACTGATTAATTCCCCTCAGCTTCTGCTTTCTGCCCTGAAGCTAGCGAGCAATCCGTTCTATCACTTGTCCCCAACCCTACAATTACTCAACATTTCATTAGTCCCACATTTTATTTGTCTATTGTAGGACACCTTATCAGAGTCCTTTTGTAAAATATGGATGGTTTATATCTAATGCATTATCATTATCCACTTTCTCTGTTACCTCCTGAAAAGAAAAATCAATATGGTTGGTTAAACAAGAGTTTTCCTTTGAGATCCATGCTGATTCTCTTTTGTTATCTTTCTCATGTTTTTAGCTGGTCTTCTAGTCTCTAGTACAGATTCCATTATTTGTCTGACCTCTGATGCTTTATGGATTGGTCTGTAACACCCTGAATATGTTCTTTTCCCTCTGAAATATATAATTGGCATTGGCTATCCATCAGTGTTTTAACACAATTTTTTTTCCTGTATTTTAAAATACTAGGATGCAATCTATCTGGACCAATATATTCTGCTTAGTTTACTCAGTGTATCCCTTTTTTATTTTAAATGTAATCATCTGTTTGCTCATCTTATGTTCGCATGTCTGACTGTTCTACCTCATTGATACATTCCAAGACATTTTTAAAAAATATTTCTGCCCCATTTCTATCATTGCCTCTGGTACCAAAAGCTGCACCTGATACCTGGTTTGGCATGTACTGGAAACTACACACACAGCCCTGTTCTATGCAAAGAAAGAAAAATATTGTCATGTACAGGAGTACAATAAAAAGTGTACAAAGTTGCCATTCTCCAGTGCCATCTTAGTATAGAAAAGACAGGATTAAAAACAGAAGCAAAAATAAAAGAAGCAGTCAAAAGAAAAGAAATTGTCCAAATCACTCTTTTCTTCCATCCCTCCCCTCGCCATGAGTCCTAACTACCAGAAAAGCCAAGCTACAAAGTCCATCCCATACCGTACCCGTTTGAACACTGCAAAGTAGATCACAGCATTTCATGGGATCATTTTCTTGGGGCAATACCCTGACCAATTCGAATCAACCTGTTTGGTTTAAAACTGAACTGAAGCCTGGCAGTTAACTGTCAATCATCATCAATTGTTATATTGTCCATGGCGAACATTGCGAACCAATAAACATTGTCATCCAGTATAAATATTGATTTCTCCTAACATTGGTATTCTTGCGAGTTGTCCTGATGAATATAAAACAAAAAAGCTCAAATAAATGTGTCTTGTTTTCAGCCATACTTACGTTCTGTGCCACCAATGACTACTTTTACATCTCCCACCTGCTCAGGTTCATTTCTCATTACTAATCTCATAGACAATCTTCAACTTGGCATTTCACATTCCGGATTAGGAAGGAGCCCTGTAGGCATTGTAGGACCTCCATTCCCTTAAACCTTTCTGTACTTCTTCTGCCCTGTTAATATCCATTAAAAATCCCAGGATTATTATTCTTTGTTTTTAAACTTAAGTTTCCTGATTTAGAGTCATAGAGATCCAAATCACAGAAAAATGCCATTTGGACATTGAGTCTGCATCAGTCAAAAACAAGCACCTAACTATTTTCACCCCATTTTCCAGCAGATGGTTCATAGAGTACCTACAGTTTGGAAACAGGCTCTTCAGCCCATCAAGTCCACACTAACCCTCAGAGCATCCCACCCAGACCCATCCCCCTTCCCTTTCCCTGTAACCCATCTAATCTACACATCCCTGAACACTAGGCAATTTAGCATGGTCAGTCCACCTTGCCTGCGCAACATTGGATTATGGGAGGAGACTGAAGCACCCAGCGGAAACCCACTTAGACATGGGGAGAATGTGCCAACTCCACACAGACTGTTGTCCGAGGGTGAAATTGAACCCGGGTCCCTGGCGCTGTGAGGCAGCAGTGCCAACCAGTGAGCCACCATGCTGCCCAAAGTCTTGTATGCCTTGACATCACAAGTGCATATCTAAGTAATTCTTATTGTTATGAGGGTTTTTGTGTCTGCCACCCTTACTGGCAGAGAGTTCCAAATTCTTACCCTCCCCCCATCACATCTCTTATAAACCTCTGCTCCTTACCTTAATTTGACCACATATTTCTACATCCACCTCCCTTCCGTTATAATGCAGTCTGTAGACTACACCCATCAGCATAATGGATCCTTTATATCTTTTTCTCTATTGATATGGATTCTATTTTTATCTTAATGATTGCTCTGTCCATTTTCATGAGTGCCATTGTTATATTGAATAAGTACATCTACTTCACCTCTTTGGTTTCCCTCTTTCCCTTATCTTATATATTTTCTTAAATGTTATATGTTGAATGTTTAATACACAGTCCTGAATATTTTGTGGTCATGTTGACTATTTCTGGTCTCTATCACATTTTGCACACAAAAGCTATTGCATTGAATGCTCTCCTCCTAAATTCAGTGCCTAACTCTTGATACTCTGTCAGCAGCACTCTGAGTCAGAATGATTTGTGATGGAGACGTTTACTTGGTGCAGTTTCTCTTTTCACAAATTGTTATATTCTGTAATCCAGGCACCAGACTTGCTGTGCCATATCTTGCCAAGCAGTGTGTTAGTTAATTAATTAGTCTTTTTTGTAGACAAGTCCAATTTCACCACACAGTACGTATCACATATTGTGTCTTTCTTGTCCTTATTTCCAAGTTTGAATGCCACGAGTAGTTTATGGAGTGGACAAATAGGTTAAAACTGTAAGAAAAGTTTAAACAAAGCTTTTTCTTTAAAAGAGCATATGCAGGAAATGTAATACATGTGGACTTTAGAAAAGCCCTTGTCATGTTTGGCATGTGAGTTTACTAGAGGAGATTGAAGAGGGGAATTCAAAGAAAGAGAATGAAGTAGGTTTAAAATGCCGAGGACTATGTTGAAACAATTTTTCAAAATGAGTTGGAAGATCGGTTCAGTTCTCGGTTCACTTTGTTTCATATGTGTGTCAATGGTTTGGAATTAGCCCTGAAGGAAATTGTTGAAATTTGAAGTTTGTAGGAAATATATATGATGAAAGGGAATAAAAAGGGGAAAGAAAAAAGGAAATGAATGTAATGTAAATGGAGGTGATGACTGGAAGTCAGTGACACTAAGTTATTTTTATATTATTGACTAAGACAAAGACAATAATCTAGCTCCCATGTTGTGGAACAGTAGGAGAATTTTATACACAGGTTTGTGGTTATAAGATTGATAAACATAGGACAATAAACTAATGGAAATTCTATGTTTTATAAGAGGAATAGAATGTACAAGTCAAGATATAATGATGAGGCAATATCAAACTTTAGAGATATTAGGCAGAATGTTGTGGTCAGGATAGGGTACAATACAGATTCACTCAGAAAATGTCTGGTATGAGGGCATGTAGAAATAAAATAGGATTTGCCGGGGTAAATCCTTATTTAGAAGAGACAGGGTCATTAGGAGACACAATGAAAGAATGGAACATGTTGGACAGAAGTGGGCTGCTTTCAGTATTTGAGGACTCAAGGATGAGGGACCATCAGTACTAGATTGAAGCTAATTGGAGAGAGCAGGATAATCCTCACAGAGTTATGTTATAAAATTTCTTCCCAGCATTAATCATGAAGATCATTGTTTCATATAAGCTGCATACATATACGACCACCAGGAAATTCAGAAGGCATGGTGCTGGCTGCTCACAAGTTGTTCATTTCAGGGCATCTGTCAAAATCAAAATCAAAGGTGTTACCTTATTGAATGATGAGGCTGCATAAAATGAACAAAATTTAGAGGTTATTGCAACTGGGCAAAAGCATTTGAGATGCAAGATTAGGCTGGATTGGTGGAACAAAGCAATGGCACTGACAGGATATGAGCACATAGTGAGTGTGTGGTTTGTGCTTTTCACTCATGAGGAAGGTATGCCAGGAGGGATTGATTGGCTAAATGGACGAGAGGTCAATTTTGCTATTTTTCTACGTTAGCCACTTTAAACTCACTTTTCTGCTCCTCATATATTACAGGCAGTTCCACATTCAATTTGTGCTTTATGTACATGATTTATTCCTGCCAAACTTCTGACTGTAACCCATTGTAACTGGAAATCCTTAACGTACTGTTACAGTGTCTCACGCAGCAGTAAGGCATGGAAAAGGTTCACTGGTAAGCATTTGGGGCAGAGTTATTTATAAAGCCCATTGTCACATATCTCAAATTGTTGATAATTGATAGACCTTGGTACGTTGGTAAGTATTTACTCAATATCAAGGCAGAGTGCTGAAACAGACTTCTTTGCTAATCACCGGGTTGACCCAAAGAATGAAACAGAGTGAAGGAGCAACTAAAATTAATGAGAGCTGGGTTACCAGTTTATAAAGATGTAGAGAGACTGGGTGATTGATGTTTATTAATCAACCTGTTTAGAGATGTTATGACAAAACTCAAGGGCAGATGAGACTTGATCTGGTCTCCTGGCTCAGAGATAGAGATATTACCACTGTGGCACAAGGGCTCTCAAGCTGGGCAATTGAATATGAATCCCTTAACTGGGCAATGGTGATTTTTATCTTTTATCCCAAAATCAGTAAAACATTTCAGTTTTGGAAATCTTTAGGGCAACTTATTTCAAATGCAAATCAGTTCAATTGTTTACACAATATATTTAACACACAATTGGTTATTTGACAGATTATAAATTAGAAAATGTAAAACAATCTGTAGTTTTGGCTTGTTTTGTATTTTATATTTTAGTTATTCGATTGTGGTCTACACTGAGATTGTTCATAAAAAGAAGTCATTGGGAATGCAAAGTAATTGAACTGTATATTTTATTGGTCAGTGACAAGAGTAAACGGAGGACCAAAACCGTGAAGAGAAGCTTAGAGCCAAAATGGAACCAGACATTTGTCTATTCTCATGTACATCGGAGAGACTTTCGAGAACGCATGTTGGAAATCACGCTATGGGATCAGCCTCGAGTACAAGAAGAAGAAAGTGAATTTCTCGGAGAGGTAAAAGATGCACCTTAAGATGTTACAATTCCTATTATGCATTTATGCTGAAAGCAGTCCAGGTAATGATCAGACATTCAGAAGCTGTGACTGGAGAATTTTAAACACGTATCAGTATCCAGCTTCACCTTATCTGCATGGTCTGGTCATCAATCAGACATAAATACACTTAAAAAACAGGTTATCTTACTGTTTCCTAAAGCTCTTTATCTGATCTCATAGCAAGAATAAATCAGCGATTTTCCATTGTATTTCTTGTCTTAACATGTCAAGGACTCTCATCGAGCAAACACAATGTTTTGTATGGTAGACGTGGATTCTCAGAGATCAGCCACGAGCCCAACCACTACTACCTCGACACATCACCATGGCTCTTTCTATCCCAGTGGCAACTTGGAGTCAGCTCATTACCTGTGCTGTTACGAACTCCATGTCAATTTGAATGTTATCCCAGCAGGGCAGATCTCAGGAGCCATGCTGAGATGAAGTCAAAAAACATTGTAAATATCTATTTCAGACTTCTGTGCATGAAGATACTTGTAATCATGAGTGCCCATTCAATACATTTGAATCCGCTGAAATACTGAATTCCATTTAAAAAGAAATCTTTGTTTATAAAACCCACATCAAAGACGAATAAACCTTTAATAACTCCTTGAGATGTAATTAAAACTGTGTTAATGATAGGCTGTGGAAAGCAATCGAGCATTAATAATGTTATAATGAAAGCATTTATGTCAATAAACCTCTACTGAAATTGCGAGAAGTTTTCTTCACTCTCAGACACAGGCAATCAGTTTTGTTTTCAGCAGCTAAAAGCTAGGACATTTAACTAACTTTACAGCTTCACAATTTGGATACCTTATTCATCGTTCAAGAGAAAACTACAGGTTAAAGCTCTTGCCACAGTGAAAATGGGAAATGTATGAACTCAGTGTTAAGTCAAAATGGCCCAACCGAGCCCAGGAATCACTTCCTACCTCCCAATCCTTCCCCCATCCACCAGCTATCAAAATGCCAGGAGTCAGGGTTGGACATCTAGATCTGGTGAAATTTTGGAAATAGCAAAGACTCTCCACAACTCTGCAAAAGTCCAGACCATAATGTTCTCTGTTGGCCAAACCCTGCTCTTCATTGAAGCTGGCAGTTACTGTGCTGCTGTGGTATTCTACTTTGTGCTTTGGGTTTACTCAGGCCTTCAGATCAAGCTCCTAAGTTGAGGTGCTGAAGAAGTGTGATTTAATGGTATGATGTACAGGAATAAAATGCTTGTTATTATTTAATAACGGTTATAATTTTATTTATGTGGATATGAGATGGTTGTAGAGTTCAGTCTGAGACTGCAGAGACTCCCTCCAGAGAGATACATTATGATTATTGACATAACAAAATTGAATTGAAGACTCTGACTTTGAGGTTTAATATTGTTAATGATGACGTAAAACTTAACAATAGTTTGAAGACAAAGAAATTTAAAGAAAAACTGGTGTTTATACAGCACCCTCCAGGATTTCTGAGCATCCCAAAAGTGCTTTGCAGCCAGTTTGAAATGTACTTGCTGTTGTAATGCAGAAGTCACAGGAGCCAATTTATGAACAGCAATTTCCTAACACATCAGATTTTTTTTAAAAATTTTGATTGAGGGATAAATATCATTCAGGACATGGGGGATAATTTCCTTGTTCTTTTTTAATTTGTTAATAGGATGTGGGTATTACTAGCTAGATTAGCTTCATTGTCCATTCTTAATTGCCCTGGAAGAGGTGATAGTGTGTCACCTTTTTGAATTGCTGCAGTCTTTGGGGTGGAAGAATGTGCACAATGCTGTCAGGAAAGGAGTGCCAGGAATCTGACCTATTGTCACTGAAGAAATATTTTCAAGTCAGTATGGTGAATGGCTTGGAGAGGAACTTGCAGTTGACAGGGTGTTGACATGTGACTGCCTCCCTTGTCCTTCTAGATGAAGTGGCTATCAGTTTGGAAGATTCTGTTGAAGAAGCCTTGGTGCATGTTTCTTCAAAGTAGTGCCACAGCCTCTTTTACATTGATGGAGAGGGCAACAGAGCCTCCATTCAATTTCTTTTTCAACAATGAATCTACCTAAAGGGGCAGTTTTTTCAAGGGTTTCTCCCTGGTTGTGTGGAAATTGGCTCAACTATTGTCTAACAATGATGTTGATAATCTACATTTAGTTATTTATCCACCTCTTTCATACAGTTTACCTGCAACATTTCAGAGTGGTGTAAACACTTTTGCATTTTTGCAGATCCTTATAGAGTTAGAGACGGCTTTGCTGGATGATGAACCGCACTGGTACAAACTTCAGACGCACGATGTGTCTTCTCTACCGTTGCCTCAGCCATCACCATACATGTCACGGCGCCATGTCCATGGAGAAAGTCCTAGTAAAAGGCTACAAAGTAGGTTGTTTGTAACTATAGTTTTATCAGACTTGAGGCTATTTTCTCAAGTAAATCCACAGCATAGAATACAGTAACTCTTTTATTGATTATGAACTACTTTGACTATGACATTTTCTTGAAGTCAATCCGTTAAAATAGAATGATATTTATATTTTCCTGGGAAGGAGACTTTCTCTTTGCTAATCAGAAATGTAATTGTATTACTGAAAAAAGACAAATTTTGGAGAAGGTTTTGAACTTTTAACAGAATGAAGACAAAAAAAACTTTGACAAAATATGTCTTATATCAGCAATAGTCAAGCTTTGTACTTTCAAATGACTATTAATATTGTAATTCATTTCTTGCAATGTTTGAAGAACTGTTTAACTAGGGGATCCAAGAGAAGACACTTGGGTAACAGCATCCCAACACTTAATGTTCATCTGTGATTCCTATTTTAACAATAGATCTAACCTGTTTAAAATAATTGTGTCCCAGTTCTGTGGAATTTCAGGTAAACACATTGAATAACACTTGTGTAACTTCAGTGTTGCATACTACTTCATTATTTCAGAAAGCAATTAAATATTAGTTTTTCACTTAGAAAATCAAGTAGTCAATAAAAGCTCAGTAAATAATATTGATCTTACTAATAAGTACATTTGTCAGTTTTATGAGGCTTCTTTTTGGACATTCCCATGTCATAGTTTTTTTTCCATTAATCACCCATGTAGCACCTTGTTAAGGTTTCTGAAAATCCAAGTATATATCAACTACATTGTTTCAAAGTAAGAAGTCACATGATACCAGCTTACAGTTCAACAGGTTTATTTGAAATCACAGGCTTTTGGGGCGCTGCTGCTTCATCAGGTGAAGCGGAGGGTAGCACACAGGCACAGAATGTATATGAAGATAGATTCCAGGTAATTAAGAGTCTCAAATGATAAATACAAACCAAAAGAACTGCGAATGCTGTAAATCAGGAACAAAAACAAAGTTGCTGGAAAAACTCAGCAGGTCTGGCAGCATCTGTGGAGGAGAAAACAGAGTTAATGTTTCAGGTCCGTGACCTGGTTCTGAGGAAGGGTCACCGGACCTGAAACGTTAACTCTGTTTTCTCCTCCACAGATGCTGCCAGACCAAATGATAAGTACAAATGCTGTGAGTGGAGTGTCGACAGGCTGAATAACAAATCTTTACAGGAGATCAAAAGTGTCAAACAGTGTGAGTAGAGTATCAACAGCTGAATAACAAGTGAAGGGATGACATGATCCAATTAATAATTGCAAAAAATCAAAAATAAAATGGTGCTAGAGACAAACCAAATGGCTGGAATAACATGATAGGTATAAGAGTTGCATGTCAAGGGTCTAATAAAACTAACAAGTAATCCAAAACTGTATGCAGTAATTGGATCCAAATGGATCTTGTTGACTACAAGATCCTTGATTGGGGTTGTTAACCTGGGTTCAACAGGAAAGCTCTGGCTAACCAATATAACCAGGAGATTTAGAATATCCTCAGTTCAGGGGACTGACTCCAAGCTGGCTAGCCATAGCCAGTGTACTGTGCACAAGTTAAATAAAGGGTGATTTGTTGATGGGATACCAGCCTCTTTGCAGTTATTTCACTGTACAAACCAGTTAAGGTAGAGAGATAATAACAAAGTTATCAAGGTGATGGTGTCAACACAACAGTAAAGAAGATTTTACACACAGCAGTGTGGTGGGATTAGTATGTACCATGACATGAACCCAAGATCACAGTTGAGGCTGTCCTCAGGGGTACGGAACTTGGCTATCAGTTTCTGCTCAGCAATTCTGTGTTGTTGTGTACCTCAAAGGCCGCATTGGAGGAAACTTACCCGAAGATCAAAGGCTGAATGCTCCTGACCACTGAAGTGTTCCCCACCTGGGAGGGAACACTCCTGCCTGGCAATAGGTGTGCAGTGTCCATTCATCTTTTGTTGTAGCCTCTGCATGATTTCACCAATATACCATGCCTTTGGACATCCTTTCCTACAGCATATGAAGTAGACAACATTGGCCAAGTCACATGAGTGCGTACCGTGGTGAGTGGTATTCCCATGTGTGATGGTGTATCCACATTGATGATCTGACATGTCTTGCAGAGGTTGCTGTAGCAGGGTTGTGTTGTGTTGTGCTCACTGTTCTCCTGAGGGTTAGGTAGTTTGGTGCAAATGATGGTCTGTTTGAGGTTAGGCGGCTGTTTGAAGGCGAGAAGTGGAGCCATAGGGATGGTCTCAGTGAGTTGTTTGTCATCATTGATGACATGTTGAATGCTCCAAAGAACAGATCGTAGTTTCTCCTATCTGGGGAACTACTGGATGATAAGGTTACGCTATCAGTCAAGTCCCATGTCTGTCTTCTGAGGAGGTCATTGTGATTTTTTTGTTATGGCACGTTGGAACTGGCGATCGATGAGTTGAGTATCGTAACCAGTTCTTATGAGGGCATCTTTCATCATCTGTAGGTGTCCGTTGCATTCCTCATCTGAGAAGATTCTGTTGTATATACAGGGCTTGTCTGTAGGGGATGGCTTCTTTAACGTGGAAGCTGGAGAAGTGAAGCATTGTGAGGTTACCCATGGGCTTGCGGTAGAATAAAGTACTGAGGTCTCTGTCCTTGTTGGGGATGTGTGTGTCCAAACATGAGACGGATTCTGAAGATTTTTTAGTCTGGTGGGATGAAACTTGTTGATATCTTTGTATGGAGCTGGAGGAACACAGCTGGCCAGACAGCATCAGAGGAGCGGGAAAGCTGACATCTTGGGCCAGGACCGTTCCCGACCCGAAACGTCAGCTTTCCTTCTCCTCTGATGCTGCCTGGCCTGCTGTGTTTCTCCAGCTCCACACTGTGTTATCTCTGATTCTAGCATCGGCAGTTCTTACTATTTCTGATATCTTTGTGTAGTCATTTCAGTGATTCCTCACTATGAGTCCAAAGGAAGACAACGTCAGTACTGTATCTGGTGTATAATGTTGGTTGGAGGTCCTGAACAGCAAAGAAGTCTTGCTCCAACTTATGCATGAAAATGTCGGTATATTGGGATGCAGATTTGGTCCCCATGGCTGTTCCATGTGTCTGGATAAAGAACTGGTTGTTGAATGTGAAGACGTTGTGGTTGAAGATGAAGTGGATGAGTTGTAGGATGGCATCTGGAATTGGCACTTTTGATGTTGGGTACTGGGGTTGTTGCAGCAATGCTGTCATCGCAGGGGATGCTGGTGCAGAAATGTCCATTGTGACAAGGAATGTTCCTGGTTCGACTGGTCCGTGGGTGCTGAGTTTCTCTAAGAAATCTGGAGTATTGCGACAGAAGCTGGGGGTTCCTCGTACAATGGGTTTCAAGATGCCCTTGACATAGTCAGAGAGGCTCTCACACAGGGTCCTGTTGGCTGATGTGATGGGACGTCTGGATGTGTTGTCATTGTGTCTGTTCGGAAGGCAGTAAGAAGTCTCCTATGCAAGAAGTATGCAGGATGAGAGCAGATAGGATACTCTGAAGGTCTTGATCAGTCTGTCTCATACAAAATAGAACGGACTACTGCAAAGAAGCATACCAACAACTGAACAGCCAGGAACACTACAGATAATTACCTGCCTATCCATCCAAAGAACATACCCGTCAACTTAATGGACTGATCAAGAACTTCAGAGTATCCTGTCTGCTCTCATCCCACGTACTTCTTGCACAGAAGACTTTTACTGCCTTCTGAAGATACACAAAGCCGACACATCCAGACATCCCATCATATCAGGCAATGGGACCCTGTGTGAGAACCTCTCTGGCTATGTCAAAGGCATCTTGAAACCTATTGTATAAGGAAGTACAGTGCCCCCACGATGACGGCATCACTGCAACAACCCCAGTACTTATCACTGACAACTGTCAATTCCCAGAAGTCATTCTACAACTCATCCGCTTCATCTTCAACCACAATGTCTTCACCTTTGACAACCAGTTCTTCATCAAGACACACGGAACAGCCATGGGGACCAAACTTGCACCCCAGTATGCCAAATTTTCATGCATAAATTGGAACAAAACTTCTTCGCTGCACAGGACCTCCAACCAACACTATACACCAGATACATCAATGATGTTTACTTCCTTTGGGCTCATGGTGAGGAATCACTGAAACAACTGCACAACGATTTCAACAAGCTTCATCCCACCAGACCTACCATGGATTATTCTTCAGAATTGGTGTCATTCTTTGACACACGTGTATCTCCATCAAGGGCGGACACCTCAGTACTTCACGCTACCTCAAGCCCACGGATAACCTCACAATGCTTCACTTCTCCAGCTTCTAACCCAAACACGTTAAAGAAGCCATCCCCTATGGACAAGCCCTCTGTATACACGGATTTTGAACAGATGAAGAGGAATGGAATGGACACATACAGTTGCTGAAAGCCGACTTCATAAGAGTGGGATATGATGCTCAACTCATCGATCACCAGTTCCGACGTGCCACCGTGAAAAACTGCAATGACCTCCTCAGAAGGCAGAGACAGGACACGACTGATAGCGTACCCTTCATTGTCCAGTACTTCTCTGGAGCAGAGAAACTACACCATGTTCTTCTCACCCTTCAACATGTAGTCGATGATGGCGAACATCTTGCCAAGGCCATCCCTATACCTCCACTATTCACCTTCAAACAGCCACTTAACCTCAAACAAACCATCATTTGCAGTCAACTACCCAGCCTTCAGGAGAACAGTGAGCACAACACGACACAACCCTGCCACAGCAACTTCTGCAAGACATGTCAGCTCATCAACATGGATACTACCATCACACGTGGGAACACCACTCACCATGTACATGGTACGTACTCGTGACTCAGCCAATGTTGTCCACCTCATATGCTGCAGGAAAGGATGCCCCGGTGCATGGTATATTAGCGAAACAACCGTGCAGATGCTACTGCAATGCATGAATGGACAGTGCGCAACAATCGCCAGGCAGGAGTGTTCCCTCCCAGTTGAGGAACACTTCAGCAGTCAAGGACATTCAGCCTCTGATCTTCAGGTAACCGTCCTCCAATGAGGCCTTTGGGATACACAACAATACAGAATCGCTGACTTGAAACTGATAGCCAAGTTCCGTACCACTGAGGACAGCCTCAGCCATGATCTTGGGTTCGTGTCACACTACATATAACCCCACCATACCATTCTGCATAAAATCTTCCTTACTGTTCTGTTTTGGCACCATCATCTGGAAAACTTAATTTTCTTCATCTCACTACCTTAATTAGTTTGTACACTTTTAGATTCCTTGTTACTTTGGTTAGACCCTTGTAATGTGACTCTTACACCTATCATGCTATTCCAGTCATATGGTTTGTTTCTAGCACCATCCTATTTTTGACTTTTTTGTAATCATTATTCGGATCATAGGTCATCTCTTCACTTGTTATTCAGCTGTTGACAGTTTACTCGCACAGTTTGACACTTTTGATCAGCTGCAAAGGATTGTTATTCAGCTTGCCGACACTCCACTCATACGATGTGTATTTATCTTTTGACGTTCTGAATTATCTTACCATTATCTCGCTGCATGTAAACTCTGTGCCAGTGCACTTCCCTCCACTTCACCTGATGCAGGAGCAGCACTCTGAAAGCTCCTGATGTCAAATAAACCTGTTGGACTATAACCTGGTGATGTGTGACTTCTGATTTTGTCCACCAAGTCCAACACCAGCATCTCCACAACTTGATTGTTGGTGGTGTCAAAGAAATCCAGCCTCTCACTTCACAATGATGTCCCCTTTCTTAATCCTTGCTAATGAACCACAATGGTTCAATTTGCCTCTACACAATTTCAGATCATTCATCTTACATTATTAGCGTTATTTTGATCATTTTTCATTCCTTGGGAGTCTTAGCAGTCTATCAAAAATATCTGTTTGTTTTGCATTTATTCCCTTTAATATTTTTGGATGTAGCTTGAACCATGTAGTATGTCTTCTTCTTTTGAAATCATTTGACCATTGTATACCCATATTTTGATTTGTTTAGTCCCTCCACTTGGTATTTCTGAGCTGTTGACTTCATCTCTCAAAATTGAGGTATGTCATTACTTAAAACACAAACCAGAGTGTAAACTAAATTAAATAATTTGAATTTAAGCTGGCTACAGTATTCAACTCATGAATACACGTGTTTGAAAAGAGTAAGAGAGAGCATGTTAGAGACCAGGCTGGATTTCTGGATATAGCACACAATTTGATTGACATGCTGATTTACTAAATTATTTGACCATATGTGAAAATCCTGAAATTTATTTGCCCACGCATTACTGAAAAACTGTACTCTGCTGATTGGTGAGTGAGAATGCAAAGCGATTGTTACCCTCAAGCTATTATTATTGTCAGTATTTAAGATTCTGGATTAAGAATTACACAAATGTAATGAAAACCACTGGGTCTTCGATTTTATAATTATGAATACAAAGGAATCATTCATAACTTCACTTTGACAAACTCACCAAAGAACCACCAAAGAAGAAGTGCTAATAATGGGGAGGTTAAAACAGAAAGGTATATAAAATGCACAGCAGGTCAACAACTGTGAGAAAAAGAAAGCGAAATAGTCAAAGGTCACCAGATTTTTCTTTTGGTCACAGACTGATTAGCTGTGTGCTTTCTGCCCCGTTTGTTTCCACATCCAAACTATGGAACTACACACGTTATAACAAGTAATGTTAATTTAAACTAAGTCAGTAGAAAATCCAGCTCAAGAAATTTATCTGAAGATGTGAGCAATGTGTCATCGAATTAATTCAGTAACAATATCAACATGCTGTCTTTCTGGCATCACCTACAATTGATCATTTGGAGTCAGCACAAATCGAAGGATATTCTGAATACTAGAGTGAATTTTGCACCTGTACTCTCCTTCCTCAGAGCCTGCTCCACCCAGTGTTTTGGTGTGTACGTCCTCCACAATTTCTGGTTGTTTGATGGATGACAGATCATCAAGTGTGAAAGGTTGCACATGTGCACAGTTTCCCAAGATGTACTGCTGGAGTGTCAGGCCCCATTCACCATTATTTGGCTTTGCTACAGTTAGTCTGTCATGTGCAATGTCCAAACTGAGATGAAGATATCCTAATTAGTTAGTGGCATGTGTATTATCCTCTTTGTGTATACCAATCTGCCCTTTTTTGTGGAGAGAGAATAATAAACTATGGATTGTTAAAAATTTGGATTTACTCAGATATTCAAATGGCCAGGTAATCTTTGGAGCAGCGTAATCTGGAACTGCATGGCAGACTGTGCAGAATCCCTGATTCTATGGAACACTCCAAAAGAAAGTTTCTGAGTCAGAGAATTTAGAATGTTCTGACTTACTTAAAGCAGAACCTGGAAGAAAATTTTCTGAAGAATGGTCTAGGCCCGAAACGTCAGCCTTCCTGCTCCTCTGATGCTGCTTGGCCTGCTGTGTTCACCCAGCTCTACACCTTGTTATCTAGGATTAAAAGCCTACCTGATGAGCTGGGAGGTAATAAATAAACTGAACACCAACTCACTGCAGACCTCTTCAACTACATCCCTCAACCCCTGACATCCCTGGCCCTCCCCTACCCCATTCTGAGACAACTGCTGAAGTACCTGGGCCGTTAGTTCAGATCTATCCTTTTGGTTGCATAGAGAATAATAAACATTGTGTTATTAAAAATGTAGATGAATTCACAAATGTTTAATTTTCCAGATTGCTTGTTTACTGGCTCACCTAATGCTCTTCTACTCTTAAAGCATTTTTTGATTTTAATACAGCTCATTGATTGTAACTTAGTTGAATAAACCCTAGAATCATAACACTTGACTCCAATTCGAGAATTACATTTGCTATAAAGTTAAAGAAAGAAAGAATTACATAAATACATGTGTTGCATTTGCTGTTTTTTGCTTTTTGTTTCTATTATCCTGAATTCCAATTTTAAAGATTATAGATTTTATCATGAGTGTTAATGAGCCCACATGCATAGCTGTTTTGTTTGTTCCGTCATTACCCAGGATCTCATCGAATCAGTGATAGTGACATCTCAGATTATGATGTTGATGATGGTATTGGAGTGGTCTTGTCAGGTGGGTGGGTGGCAGAACATCACCTAATCTATGAGTGCCGTCCGCATTTAGAAATTGCTTTTGATGTGGGGCTCTAGCAGGAGGTCAGTATCATTCCCAGGAGCAGATATCATGAATCTGCTAGCTGTCGCACATATTATGGTTGGCTGTCTAAAGGCATAACCTAGTTGGTTGAGATTTAACCAATAGTTAGCAACTACATTTATTCTACAAATTACACTTATTCAGAAATAGTTTATCTGACTCATTCAAGATGAAGTGTATTTCACTCTCTTAAAAACAAGGTGCACAGCTAGTTCTTGAGTATCTGACGCAATGCACGCTTTTGTTAAATGCATTTGAAGCTTGCATTTTGAATTACTTTGCAACAAAATGAAACACAACATAAAATCCTTTTGTCCAAGATTTTCTGATTAGCTTGGACCACTCAGGGTGGTACAGTGCCGCGGTGGCTCAGTAGTTAGCATTGCTGCCTCACAGCATCAGGGACATTGGTTCAATTCCACCCTCAGGCACCTGTCTGTGTAGAGTTTGCACATTCTCCACATGTCTGTGTAGGTTTCCTTCCAATGCTCTGGTTTCCTCCCACAGTCTAAAGATATGCAGGATTGGCCATGGTAAATTGCCCAGAGTGTCTAGGGATGTGTGGGCTAGGTGAATTAGCCTTGGGAAATGCAGGATTACATGAATAGGGTGGACGGGTGGCTGTGGGTGAGATGCTGTTCAGAGAATTGCTGTAGTCGTGATTGGCCGAGCGACCTGCTTTCAAACTGTAAGCATTCTATGATAGATTTAGATCCAACCACTTTGTCTTGATACCACATGATGTAGATACATTCTGAAGAAAGAAGTGAGCTGAACTGTCTTAAAGATATTCAACACTGCATCTTACATGAATTCACTCGTGAAATAGACAAAAGTAATCTCTTGTTTATACAAATTTCAGTATGTATGTTTGATTAGGATTCCTAATTTTCAGGTTATGTTACATCTTGAATTTGGAGAAGTTCTGAACAAAATCCCCGAGTCAAAATACTTATATCAAAGATTCTGCCGGATTTAGGTTTACCAGAGGCAGTATTTTAAGAAGAAATTAAAGGAAAAAAACAAATGCTAAATCCCAGTATTATCTACATCATCATCCTCCTTTCGCTTCAAAATTAATGCAGTCATTTGTGCATGACACAGAAATTGTGATCAAGAGGAAAAGAGAAGTGGTTGCAAGCCTCAAACTAAACTGAAAGTGTCAAAGGTTCCGGTGATTTTAGGATTATCAATTGGATGCATAATTGATTAAACCCTAAAATTCTAACTATAATTTAACTACATTTCAAGGATTCAATTGATATTTTTTGGATTAAATAACATGAAAATTATAAACTATAATTTTGTTTTACTGTCTTCTTTTTCTTTTGTCTGTTTCTTCGTTAATTTCTATTGGAAAGATTTTTATTTAGTTTCATCCCACTTTATAACCTACCGCATAGATAGTCATAGGAGGTTCACAGGAGCAGTTCCTGCTTTTCTGTCATTTCATGGCAAACAGTTTGGACTGTAATTGGCACGTCAATATAACAGGGATGGAGATTAATAATTCATCAGGTAAAAGATTACAGAAACATAGAAACAGAAAATAGACGCAGGAGTAAGCCATTTGGCCCTTTGAGCCTGCACCACCATTCAATACAATCATGGCTGATCTTACAATCTCAGTATCCCATTCACGCCTTCTCCCCATACCCCTTGATACCTTTAGCTGCAAGGGCCACGCCCAGCTCCCTCTTGAATATATGTAATGAACTGTCCCCAACAGCTTCCTGTGGGAGAGAATTCGACAGGTTCACTACTTGCTGAGTGAAGAAATTCTTCCTCATCTCAGTACTGAATGGCTTACCCCTTAATCTTAGACTGTAACCGCTTATTCTGAACTTCCCCCAACGTCTAGCCTGTCCAGTCCCCTCAGGATTTGATATGTTTCTATGAGATACCCCCTCATTCTTCTAAATTCCAGTGAATACCAGCCCAGTTGATCCAGTCTTTCCTCCTATGTCAGTCCTGTCATCCCAGGGATCAGTCTGGTGAACCTTCACTGGACTCCCTCATTGGCAAGAATGTCCTTCGTCAGACTAGGTGTCCAAAACTGTATGCAATACTCAAGGTGTGACCTCACCAAGGCCCTGTATAACTGCAACAAGATATCCTTACCCTGATACTCAAATCCTCTCACTATCAAGGAGAGAATGCCATTAGCTTTCCTCACTACCTGCTGCACCTGCATACGAACCTTCAGTGACGGTTCCACTATGACACTCCGGTCTCGTTGCACCTCACCTTATGGCTGAAGCCTATATGCCACATTGAGACAGTATGACATTTAAGGACAAGAAAATGGAAGTAAAGCCTAATAAGTTTGTCAGTAAAAATGACACCAAGCTTCCAATTGCCTGCTATTTCAACGCATTACTATCTTCCCTCGCCAACACTTCTGATGCAGGCCTGCGCAGTGTTCAAAGAAACCTCAGCACAAACTCAAAGAGCATTTTATAAACCACCTGAAGCCTCTAAAACTCAACATTGAGTTCAATAACTTAAGAGCCTGATTTTGTCCTTCCATGATTTTCACCCACCTCCACACCTGTTTCCTGTCATGACGTGGGTTACTTTCAGCACAGCCAACCCATTCTTTCCTACCTTCAGCTCTCATTATGACTTATTCAGCTTTTCTTCCATCCTGGCCTATTATCAACAATAGACTCATCCCTTTTCATCTCTCTCTCCTGTCTGGGCTGTGTCTTAACCTATCTGCTCAACTCTTCTTCCCCACCTCGTCTTTAGCATAAATACTTTTTCTTAGCTGTTGTCAGTTCTGATTAAGAGTCACCAGACACCAATGTTAATTCTGCTTTCTCCCCACACATGCTGCCAGACCTCCTAAGTTTCACCAACAATTTCTGATTTTGTCCTTAATATATATGAGGTAGAGAGAGAGAAAGAGCCCTTATCTATCCGTCTTCTTACCATATCAATTGTTATTTCAATACCAAGACACCTGTCTGAAGGCTTTTGGAATCACTTATGCAGTCTGACTCAGCAGCCTTTCTTGATAATTCATTCAGCAATCCTCTTGCACTTTGTGTAAATATTAATGATGATCTGCTAATCTCCAATATTGTAATAATATTGACAGTTGATTTATTTTAGGATAAACCAATTAGAAAATCCAGACTATTAAGTTTAACTTCAGTTTGTATATCACACCAAGTCATGTTTCTTGTCATTCCAGCTCTTCAGAATACTCCGCAATTTCCTTGAATGAACTTTGTTAATTTCTTGCATTAATTTCAATTCATTTGAAAACCTCAAAGTGTTTTCTTGCCAAGGGAATAAAATTTGAACTCTAGGCTACTCGCTGTTCATAAGACTTTTATTTGAAATTTTTATTATAATTTTCATGATATTATTATAACTGAGGACTCAGGATAACTAATAGTAAAGTATTAAATATTCAGAACTGCTTAAATATCCATGACTGTAAATTTAGAGTAATTTAGAACATAGGAGACAATCATTTAAAAGCACCTTAATTTTGACTGCTGGGTAAATTGCTTTGCAATATGCCCATGCATGTCCTCCCATTGACAATCAGAGGGAGTCTGAGAGGCTTGGAGAGCTTTGATTGTCTGGACAGAGGAAGCTTTGTGTTTTCATAGACATTTGCGATTTGTCAGATCTTAGAAAGTCCCTTTTACTTCCAAATTAAATCAATACTTGCTCCATGTAAAACAAAAAAAAACTTCTCAAAATAAATTTCATTGTATAACAATTTGGGACTGTAGCTTGTGATAAAATCTGTGGCCATGAATATTAGTTTTATATTATGCAGGATAAAAATCCTGTTCATGTAGCTAACCTGTAGTATAATAAATTATGGTGCAGTAAGAGTGATCATTTATGGGCAAAATGATGGATAAACTTTAATAAACAGCTGGAATCCACAAATTCCCTAACTGCCTTCCTGCTTGAGCTCCACAGATGAGCTGCTGTACAGCAGCACATGCCCTTAGAAATGAGATTTCTGAATGACTGCAACCCGCATGGCTTTGCTTTACCAATGTAGATGTTTGCATGGCCTCTCGGCTTGTTCATGTTGAAGCAAAAACTGGTTGCCTTAATCATAATAGTGCACATTGAACCTACGTCATACCACTACAGCACTTTATTTTGGTTACACGCTGTTTTAATGCTGATGGTTTGCATGTATTTCAAGTAGTGTCTCATAACTTAGCAGATAAAAGTGATGACCAAAAAGGAAGGTTGAATGAATCACACTTTTAAGTCCTTGTTTCATTGCAGTTTGGCTTTATATTTGCAACAATGCTAGTGTTTACCAATGTTTTGCTAACAAATATTAATACTTCCTTTTTTTTGTTTTTGGCATCTTAATCAACAGATTATAGGGATAACAGTAGAGAAAGTAGATCAAGCACATTAACTGTCCCAGATCAGCAGAGAACTCCCCACCATCGTTCACGTTCTGTCTCTCCTCACCGTGGTGATGACCAGGGCAGGACCCGGTCACGTTTACCCAGTGTCCCACTGCAGAGGTGTGTTTTCATTCTTCACAAATGCTGGTTGAATTTGACAAAATGTTGGGCTGATAGTGGTTAATCTTTAATCTTCACTTCTCCTGTTTGTCAGTGCAACGGTTTTGTCTGATTGAAAGCAGGAGATAGCTTGCATGGAATTTCAGGAGCTTTGGATAAAGGCTAATGTTGTTTTGGGTTTTGTGCTTGTGTTAAAATTGATTTCCATCAAAATCACCTTGATTGTTTCCTAGACAGAGTTTCTACATTTGATTATAGTGATAATCCTCTTCGCACTTAGGAGTTTAGATGAAATCCATCAAAGTCGTCGTTCTCGTTCCCCCACTCGATACCAAGATGCCTCTCGCAGTCCAGTTGAATGCAGGCCCAGGGACATGGACAGTTATCACACTTACGAAAGAGACAGGTACAGTTTCGGCACAATTACTCCATTCCTTTCTTGTTTCTGTTTTATACCTTGAATTGAATTTTAAAGGCTAACATCTTGCTATTATTTTCATTTGATGTTTGAAAATAATTCCAGTGATCTAAACTTCCACTTCTGCAACAATATTTTGGAAAGGGATTAAGTTATAAACTCTGCAAATCGTTGAGCAGCGGAATTCTACCAAGGCTATTTTAAATCTGACCTTTGATTTCAGTTTACGATAAGCTCCAGTATACCATTTGACTGATTTTACAGTTCTCCACTTCCCTTTGTTCTTGCCTTGTTGAATGAAGGTTAAACACACTTCGTGAAAATTAATATGAATGCAACTGTCATTATCTGTTCAGATACATTATATTCTGTGCCATGCCAAGCTATGGGTGATGTGCTCTGCTTCTCTTCCCAACCACACACCCCCTCCATGAACTTCTCGACTGCTGCTGGCCCTATCAAAATTTTACTTGTGACAGGCAAGACATCAGATTTCTGAGGAAGGGTCTAGGCCCGAAACATCAGCTTTCCTGCTCCTCTGATGCTGCTTGGCCTGCTGTGTTCATCCAGCTCTACACCTTGTTACATCAGAATGCTGCTTAGAAGGAGGTAGGCTATGATGTGGAGGTGCCAGTGTTGTCTCTCTGAGTAAATTGAGGTCCTTAACTTAATAGCCATGTGAGGGCCTGTTCTTCTACCTCTGAGATTGAACCTGCAGTGGGTGAAACCCAGAACAAGTGATCAGCTTGGCATATCTCACTGTGATGGCTAAGGAGGGGACAGATAAGGATAGCCTCCATAATGGGTCCCCTGGCTCCATCAGTGGCTTCCAACCCCAAAGGATGTGCTTTCTTCTCTGCTATCTGCTGTGACAAGTGAGCTGCACCATTAGATTTTCTGGCTGTTCTCGGAGGTGATGGCTATCCTATCTTAAACTATTTAATGGCAATAAGTGGAACATAGAAAGCTAGACTCATCCTTAACCTATTTACTGAGAAGGTAGCTCCACGGCCCAGTAAGATCAAGCTTGACAAGGATGGAGAAAAGCACAGTAATATTTAGAGAGAAAGAGATATAGCAAGTTTGGGATTTGCCAGAAATTACAGGGCAATTTGTGCCAGTCTATTGTCAGCCTCCAGAAAATAGACATTCTAAACTTCACTTTGGTTCTGAGGAAGGGTCACTGGACCGGAAATGTTAACTCTGATTTTTTCTTCACAGATGCTGCCAGATCTGCTGAGCTTTTCCAGCAACTTCGTTTTTGTTCCTGATTTACAGCATCCACAGTTCTTTCAGTTTTTAGTCTATTGTGAGATACTGGCTTGATCTGGAGCATACAGTTCAGTTTTATTACTGGAATGTTGTCATTGTCCACAGCCTTTGAAGTATCCAGTGTTTCTTGATGTTACTTGGAGTAAATTCAATTGGGGAGGTGAACATTGGCATCTATAATGCTGGTGTCTATAGGTCAGACAGCATCCGAGGAGCAGGAAAGTCAAAGTTTCAGGCTGAAACCCTTTGTCAGGACTGGGGAGGCAGAAGGGAGTCCAGAAATAAATAGAGGGAGGGGGCTGTGACTTGGGGAAGGGTAGGAGAGATAGTGATAAGTGGATGCAGGTAGGGTGTGTTGTGAATGGTCTGTGGGAAGGGTGGAGTGGATAGCTGAGTCGGAAGATGGACAGGGTAAGTCAGGTCTCCCCAGTCCTGACAAAGGGTTTCGTCCCGAAACGTTGACTTTCCTGTTCCTTGGATGCTATCTGACCTGCTGTGCTGACCTAACCTGTCATCTTCCTACTCACCTATCCACTCTACCGTTCCCACGGACCAATCATAATACCTCCTACCTACATCCACCTATCACCATCTCTCCCACCCTTCCCCAGCACCGCCCCCCCCATTTATCTCTGGGCTCCACTCCCCCTCCCCAGTCCTGATGAAGGGTTTCAGCCCAAAACATTGACTTTCCTGCTCCTCAGATGCTGTCTAACCTGCTGTGCTTTTCCAGCTTCACACCTATAAGCTCTGGCTTCCAGCATCTGCAGCCATTATTGTCTCCAAGTCTATGATGCTGGTGTCCCCTGGAGATTTTATGTAAGAGAACGAACATAAATGTAGTAAGTGATCTGTTATCGATAAGAATTTTGGTTTTTCAATATAGTGAAGTCTACAGTAGGCCTTTAGAATATAATTTCATAGTTCTATCTCATCTCTTCATGCGTTCTGCAGGCTACCAACAGTGGATACTGGATGAATTGGATTTGTAGGTGGAGGGGTGGTGATTGGCACATGGATGGCATAAGTTGGCACTAATTTTACTTGTGGTATTAAAGGGCCACAGGATGGGTAGATGACCATGGCATGGGTCTATGAGAGCCCTTGACAATTAGGTATAGGATTCATGTACATGACACATTAAAAATAATATGGAGACACAGCAAATAATCAGGAAGACTTTTCTTGAAAGGGATTACAGAACAAGAGTAGTGAAGTCGAACTGAAATTCTGCTGTTCTTTGGAATACTATGCCTGGCCTATTATGTAACTGTTTTAGAGATAGTAGGAACTGCAGATGCTGGAGAATCTGAGATAACAAGGTGTAGAGCTAGATGAACACAGCAGGCCAAGCAGCATCAGAGGAGCAGGAAGGCTGACGTTTCGGGCCTAGACCCTTCTTCAGAAAATCATTTCTAGCTAAGAGGTTGGCGCAATGAAAGTTGATTCCTGAGATGAGGCTTTTTTCTCCTGATTACAGAGTTTAGAACGGGACTGAATCCTAGGATAAGCATTTTGGACTAATATGAGAAATTTCTTCATTTTGTAAGTTGGAATTTTTGGATTTCTCTTCTCTTGAGAGTTGTGGATTCTGATTGTTGAGTACATTTAACGTTGAGCTCAATAGATTAGTTGGCTATAAGATAATCAAGGGATGTGGGAGCAGACAAAAATTGGGATGTAAATCAGTTACGGTCATAATGGATGGTGGAACATGGTGAAAACAATGTATGGCTGACTGGTTTTTCATTTTAAATTGTTTTCATGGGATGTGGGCATTCCTTGTGCCAACATTTATTGTCTGTTCCTAATTGTCTTTGAGAATGTGCAGGTGAGCTACTTGAACTGTTGCAGTCATTGAGTTGTAGGTACACCCACAAACTGATAGCGAGGGAATTCCAGGATTTTGACCCAGCAACACTATGTTTCCAAGTCAGGATGGTGAGTAGTTTGGAAGGGAACTTGCAGGTGGTGGTGTTCCCATGTATCTGCTGCCCTTGTCCTTCTAGGTGGTCGTGCTCATTGTTTTGAAAGATGCTTGTATTCTTATGTAAGTCTGTGCTTTACTCTCTCCAAGATTAGTATATATTTCTCCATGTACAGTGCCCAAAACTGAGTGCAGTGTTCCAGATGGAGTAATTGCAGTCTTGTTTCAAACATGACAAAAAGATTGGAATTGGAGAAGTTAAGGTGTGAATGACTGTCCTTGATATCAAGGCAGCATTTGATTGAGTGTGGCATCAAGGAGCCCTAGACAAACTAGAGTGATGAGGAATCAAGGGAAACTCACCACCCTCATCTGCTTCATCAATGACCTTTCCTCCAAATATATAAGAAATAGGAGCAGGAGCAGGCCATTTACTACCTCAAGCCTGCCCCACCACTCAGTAAAATCATGGCAGATCTACCCCTCAACTCCTCTTTCATGCTGGCTCCTCGGAGTTCTCAATTTTCTGATATTTCAAAACGCCGTCCAAACTACGCAGTTTTCATCACCATTTATGACTTCTCAGATATGCAGCAAGACCTGAGCATCAAAAAAGGTTGGGCTGATAAATATGAGGTGTGGCCTAGTGGTTATGTTCCTGTAATCCAGAACCCTTCTAGAGTTTGAATTCCACAATGGAGAAATTTGAAATATTTGGTGTAATGGCGACCATGTAACTGCTACCAATTGTTATAAAAACCATCTGGTTCATTAATGTCCTTTAGGGAAGGAAGTCTGCCATTGTTAGAATCATAGAAATCCTGTAATGCAGATAGAGGCCATTATGCCCATTGAGTCTGCACCAACTACCCACACGCCCCCCCCACCCCAACCAAAGAGCAAACCACCCAGACCTACCTGTCCCACCCTATCCCCACATTTACTGTGGCTAATCCACATAGCCTGCACATCCTTGAACACTGCAGGGCAATTTATCACAGCAAATCCACCTAACCGGCACATGTTTGTGACTACGGGAAGAAACTAGAGCACACAGTAGAAATCCACACAGACATAGGAGAATGTGCAAACTCCACACAGAGAGTCACCCAAGACTGGAATTGAGCCCAACTCCCTGGTGATGTGAGGCAGCAGTGCTAACCACTGTGCTGTGCTTTCTCAGTCTGGCCGACATATAACTCCAAACCCAGAGCAATGTGATTGAATCTTAACTACACTCTGTGCAAATAGGGATGACAATAAATTCTGGCCTGGTCAGTGATGCCTTCGTTCTATGAACTTTTTTTTAAAATTAGCAAGTAATATTTGTATCACAGAAATGCTATCTGATAATCATTTCCAATAAGACAGAAATCTAATCATCATCTTTCAACATTAACGGCATTGAAACCTCTGTTACCATTTTACTGCAGCTTACTATTGACCAGAAACTGAACTGGAGCAGCCTTACAAATACTGTGGCTACAAAGACAGGTTAGAGGCTGGGAATCCTACAATGATAAACTCACTTCCGGCCTCCCCACTACCTTTCTACCATCTACAAGGCACAAGTCAGGAGTGTAACTGGAATACTCCCCCTTTACCTGGATGAATGTAGCTTCAACAACACTCAAGAAACTTGACATCATCCAGGACAAAGCAGCTTACTTGACTGACACCACATCCACAAACATTCATTCCCTCCATCACCGATATTCACTGGCACCACATGTGCCATCCACAAGATTTACAGCAATAACTTACCAAACCTAGCTCAGTGACATTACCA